GGGAATACAAGTTTGTATTCCTAACACTATAGTGTTCCTTTAAGCTTTAGGTAAATTATAAACTTTTTTTTTTAAACAAGCTAAAAACAGTAAGTATAAATATATTTTTAATGTTAGGACAGATTCTAAAATGTTGCACATTGCTATGTCAATTATCAATTGAAGAAACAGTGAAATTTGTAATATTTTACTTATTTTTGTTTATTGACCGCTTTGTGCTCTGTTTTAGGTGCAGCTGATTGGTGATGGAAGAAATCTGTATTGGGAGCCGTTAGGAGAGAAGGGAATGGTGGTACATTTGCCAATACTCAATCCCACACAGTTTACTGTCCAATGGGGATGGGTTCTTAAAATAAGCTATTTAAATGAACATGTATCTAAAACTTCAGGGTACATGCTAAGGCATAATTCTTTTTTATAAAATAAGACATTTTTTTTTTTTTACTGGAAATTGAATATAAACATGGATGCTTATTACCTGATTATACATTTTAATTTCATAACGGCATTGTAAATGTATGTAATGAGACAACTAAAAGCATATTGGTTTTATAAATGTATGGTACATAAGAGTTTTCTAAATTAGTCATAGCTGTGAATATTTTCTTTACAGATTTTAGTTAGCTAAATGTACACATCCAAAAAGACAGGATTTGGAGATTCTAGCTGCATAGAAAGGTATTTGTATTTTTTAAATTTTCAAAGGTAGAAAATGAGGATGCTGGATATTTTGTTTTCTAGAATGTTTTTTTAATTAATTTATTTTTTTTCTGTAAGGCTATGCTTGATCCAGCTTCCCAATAAGTAAAGCTTTTTTTTTTTTATGCCTTAAGTTAAAGTCCATTTTTTTTTTTTTAATAACTAACTGTATAACTGGGTTGGAGCTTGACAACCCTAGGCCAAATGGTGACATGGGTGAGTATATTTATACAATTAAGTTCATGGCCCTGAGTCAAGGAGGCAGGAGCCATATCTATGGGAAGGAGACTTGGGACATCTTAGTCTTTCCTTTTGAAAACTAGAAAAACAGCGTAGAGGATATCGTATGGGAATTCTTGTGGACAGTCGTTTTAATTAGTTCCATATTGTAATGATACGGTACCTGTGAGATTTAAGAACTGACTTCTGCAATAACTACTTGATGAAATGTTGTTTACTTAAAGTGGTACTGTCACCTTCTGGGGATTATACATATTTTGACTGCTCCGCCTGTTTTGGGATGGCCATGTGGGTTTTTACTTACCTGAAGCTGTCCCTCATGGGCACTGCCATTTTCCTCAGTGAGTTCCTTTTCCTCTGTCACTTCATCTGCCAGGAGCCAACATCCGTGCTATACACAGTGGCAGAACTACTGGGGGGGTCCATCGGGTGGCCCCTGCACTTAGGGCTACCTGATGAATACTGCTTAACAGGGGCCCAGTCAGGCGCTGAGGCCCTTTTAGATCGTGACCAGGCTGCAGTGATATCGGCAGCCTGGGAGGAAGTGACAGCCGATCACTTCCTCCCAGCTTCAAACAGAGCCGGGTGGGAGGGAGAAAGTAGTAGCAGCTCACACAGGTGGAGGGAGAGGACACTACATTAAAAGGAGAGGAGGCGGCGGCGGCAGCAGAGGAGATGGAAGAAGAGCAAGAAAAGAGCAGCAGCCACAGGGCCTCAAGCAATCCACCCTACTGCACATAAAATATATTTTAACAGGAGGGTGGCTACAAATATTACTATGACCTGTATGTGTGTGTGTGTCTTGGTATGTCAAATTGTATATCAGTGTTTATTTGTGTGTCAGGGTGTGTATATATCAGGGTATATATGTGTGTGGATATATTTATATATATATTTATTCACACACATTAGTGTGTGAGTATCTTTGTTTCAGGGTGTGTGTGTGTGTGTATATATATATATATATATATATCTCTGTGTGTCAGGATGTGTGTGTATCTGTCAATCTATGTTTTAGTGTGTGTCTTTGTGTGCATCTCTGTGTCAGGGTGTGAATATGTGTATGTATATCAGTGTAAGTATGTATGTGGTGGTGTATGTATACATTCAAGCAATCAAACAATCCTGCTAACACAAATTTTACATATAAACACACCCTTGCATTCAAACGTAAAAATTATATACAAACACATTCCTTCACTCAAACACCAATACTATACACAAATGTACATTCACACTTCAAACCCAACATTACTTACAAACGCACCCCTACACTAAAATACAAACACCAACACTGCACTCAAAAGCACACCTGCATTTAAAATCCAACACTACACACAAACCCTGCATTTAAAATGCATTCAAACACAAACCCTACACAAGTACACAACTGCATTCCAAGGGCAACAGTACATACAAATACACACACATCCTCTATACAAAAGCATGCTTACATTCAAACGCACAAATACAACCCTGCAAGAATGGGAAAATTGCCTAGCTGGTATACCATTATTGGAATTGTACATCAGCTGGTTATCTAGCTTTTGGCCACACTTGCACTAGAGGGGAGCCCAAAAAAATGTTCTTCCACCAGCGCCCTCTTTACATTAGTTCCGCCACTGTGTACTCATGTGCATGCGCAAGAGTACAGCACTGATGTCTATGGAGGATCCTCTATAAAGAGCCTTCCCCCCGCCCCCAGCCATCACTAGCGACGGCTGAAGGTTTGACCTTTTGTCATGCATAGGAAATATACATCCAACTCTGTCTTAATTATATCCTCAAGGAACTGTAATAAACAAATTAGCATACAAACATTGTTAATAGAAAAAATCTCATTAACTGCTTTACATAAAAGGTGTGATTGAGCAACATTGCAGAGTGCTATCTATTCACTCCCATAACAATCTGAGTGGACGAGCAGGTTCTTCCAGATTAGATTCACCAAGCTACTAATTTGTCTAGAATAGTTTGTCATTCACATGACCTAGTTAGTAGCTTTGAACTATTTGATAAGCTGCTTTTGTAGTCTTCATACAAGTCCTATATTCTTTCAATGTTTAACAGTAATATACAGACTGTATTATTTCATAGTAATCTACTGAAAAAATCATATCCTTACAATATTCATACCATACACTTGGTAAAGCCTTCAAGTTTTTGGTTAGCCTGTGAACTCCCATAGCATTCACTCTAAGTGCTATTAATTTTGCCATCTACACATGAGCATGTACATGCACATACACAGATTTATTGTTAACTTCAAATAATTACCTATGATTGGCACAAACTTGTCTAATCTTGTTGGTTGCTGTTCCACTTTTGTGCAATTTTATGGATTATGATGCATTATTGAAATAAAAGACACATTGATTCATAAGATATGTTTCTGCCACTATAAATTGATTATTGTTTTCACTAGATTACTTTACTGTGTTCCAAGATTTTTGAGACAAGTCAATAACATAGAATTTATGCAGGCTGCTAGACCTGTGGTTTTCAGATCATATGCCATAAGCCATCTCAAAGATTGCGACAAACATGGTGACTTCTGGTCTGTAGTAGGTTGAATGAAGTCCTAAAGTAGTGGTAACATTAAATGGTCATTCCCATTTGTCAATTTAATGCTGCTAAATTTAATTCACCTCTATGCAAATTGGACATTTTGAAGCACCCAGTGAAGGTAAAATAAGCCTGTAGTTTGTACTCTATTTTTATGTGCCATGTATTAGTATAGAATATATTTTTTTCCTTACTATTTGCACTCTCCTGCCACGTTCTATTGTTACTTTTTTTTTTTTTTTTAAAGTGTTACTTTTCTTATTTGCTGGTATACTCACTGGATTTATATTTTATAGAAGTGTGTACCTAGGTCCAAAATCACTTAAAGAGTGACATGTCAGCCAGTTGCAGCCTTCCTGCTGTTTTCAGTAGGAGACAAACCTATTCTCATAAAAGCCTGCTCAAGATACTCAATATGGATTGAGATATAAAGTCCAGTACTTAGCTGTTTTTTTTTGTGTGTCTGAAGAGTATCACAGGGAATTTCTATTACCACAAGTGGCACCACTCAAGGAAATTGGGTACAAACTATTACTATAGGTAGCCACTATCACATGCAGAATCTCTCTTGACTGAGAAGTAATATAACACAATCTTTACACCTCCAGTTATGTTTAACTATATTTTTATGAACCTAACTAGAGAATCCATGGAGCTGGGAATTGTAGAAGCAGCTATGAATTTTGCTCCTCTCCTGATGTGAAAGATGGTCATCCCAATTTGTAAGAATTTTTGGATAGTTTTTTTTTTTTTTCTTCCCCATTTTAACTAAACTAAACTTCCTGAAGGAATAATAAATCAAGTAATTGAAACTTCCAAAGGTTTGAGGCTGAAATTCTCAATTTGGTTGCTGGCATCATATGTTTTCAGCAGCTTTCTCATTAGTAAGGATTTATAGAATTAAAAAAAAAAAAAAATGGCCATCTTCACTCAAAGATCAGAGCTTCAAATGCCAGCAACCGATACATTCACAGTAAGGATTTAGCAAGTTATGCATAATTTGCAATAAGTTACTGATCTTCCATGTTGAGACAACTGACTTAAAAAGTTTGAACTGGTAATTAAAGGAACACTGTAGGCACTTTAACCACTTCATCTTATTGAAGTTCTAGTGCCTTCAGTCCTGCTCCCCCCATATCTTTAAGTTCACTAATTAGAGAGCTTGAAAGCGTGTGCAGTGCCGTCATGGGTGACCATAGAGAATCATTGTATTCAGTGATTCTTTATGGCAAAATCTTAGATGCATTACCTCGAGTGCTGTGCATGCGCCTACAGCAGGGCTGTATATTCCTAATGCTATAGTGTTCCTTTAAAATGGACCCCACATAATCATGATTAATCTAAAAATATGCTAACTCAAAATATGAAGCGCAAAATGTAAATTGCAATAATAAAACGTGGAACACATGATTAAACTGGCTATGCAGCCATTTATTAATAAAATTATCTACAAGACAGTGTACTATGGAAAATTGTAAGAGTAAACTGTTTGAATACACAGAATAAATTATATCAATTATCTTTCTAGAAAATTATGGGAAAATTAATTTTCTATATTTTGTTTAAATTCTTTAAGAAGTACTAAACAAACAAAACAAAATTTTTAGTGCATTTATAGGGACTGCCTGAGTTTCAGTGGATGGATGCAAACTGGAGCAATGCTTGTACAACAAGTGCCCCATTAATAAGGTCTGTGGCATTTTGGACCTATTCGCCGTGAGAAGATAAAGCTCCATGCTACACAGGGTTTGTTGATACAAGATACCTATGGTCCAACATAAACATTGTATATTTTATTACTACTAAAGACCCAGAAACATTTCCACAAATCTTATCTTAAGATAGTTCTCAAAATATGTAGTAAAAAAAAAAAAAAAAAAACACCATAGAACAGCTTATGACCACTATTAAATTATTCCTAATAACAGAACAAAACCTGCCATAGGGACTGATCCTTAAATAAAATTTAATCATATCTAGAAAACTTAAAAACCTGGACCAAAACTGGGTTGTGGGAACCAATATTCTGTTTCATTTAGCATTTCGGCTTTTAGCCAATTACACTATGAATGCATACCATGTACTAAAGCATGCACATTATCATGCAGAAAACGGCAAAACTTTCCAGATGAAAATGAGGTGATCATGCTTTCAAAAATATAGGGCTCTTCTAAAACAAAACCTGTGTGAATTTTACAGGAAATATTTTGCACATCTGTACTGTTTGCTTAGTAACTGTATTTGCATGGTGCCTTATCACTCCAGAGATGGCAAATTACTCATGTTTCAGGTCTGAGGCATCTTCAATTACTTGAATCAAGAGGAATGTCATACACAATCTGTAAACATTAATGCTTGCTGGATTTCAGGGATAACAATTTTTGACAGTTGGGCTTGCCATCATTTCTCTAATTGCTGAGGTGTGCTGAAAGCCTCATATACATTAGCAGCAAAGTCTTTCACTTGATCCATAAGCAAGAGATCCTAAAAATGCACCACCAAAAAAAACAATAGATTAGACCAAAAGGACTGTAATGTTTGAAAACAATACTAGAGAATAAAATTCAGTGACCGTAATCGCCAACCCACATACATAGAGACGTTAATATGTGTTTCCCTTTTATTTTTCTTTATACCTGAACAAAGTGATTGGGCATCTCACTGCATATGGAGTGTATCTGTCCATTTAGTATAGGGATGATTTTGGCTAGAGGAAGGCTAATACTGGAAAGGCTGTAAATAAAGAAAAACAATACACAGAAAGTAAAATTACAATACGAGCACATAATATATTTGTAACATTTTGTACAATGCCCTATTACCAGGGCCATCGCTACCATAAAGCGTAAAAAGGCATTCGCCTGGGGCGCCGACCAGCTGGGGGCACCCACAGGGAAGTTTCCTGGTGGGCTGCCCTGCTGCGGTCTGGGGCTGGAACGCTGGCTGAGTGGCTCCTTAACCACCCCACCAGCGCAGCCATCCAGCTGCTGGGCTCCTTTCTGCTGTTTGCCTGCTCAGGGAGCGAGGTTTGCTGTAACCCCAGCTCCTGAGCAGAGCACACTGCTCCCTGCTGCCAGGGGAAGCCAAGATGTGACTTGGTATTCCGCTGCCCCCTGCCTGTGAACACCGGAAGCTCTCTGAGGGGAACAGGAAGCAGCCTATGTTCACAGTGTATGGCTCTCCTGCTCCCCCAACAGAAAGAACAACTTCCCACAGCCTGGAACTCTTCTCCTCTTCACAGCCCCCAGGTAGGCAAATGGGTATTGTTTATTCTGCGCATGGTTGGGGTGTGTGTGTTAAATTGCTGTATTTCTGTGTGTAAATAAAGTGTGACTTTGGTGTGAGCCTGTGTTTGAGTGACAGTGTGTGTATGTTAGTGAGAGTGTGTAAGTGACACTGTGTATGTCAGTGAGTCTGTGCAAGTGACACTGTTAGTGAGAGAGTATAAGTGACAGTGTATGTGTGTTAGTGAGGTTTTTTTTTTTTACCCCTTTTGCACCACAAGGTAAGGGCGCTTGACAGGGGGAAGCTATAGTGCCAGGAAAACAAGTTTGTTTTCGTGGCACTATAGTTTCCCTTTGCTGTCCACTCAGTGTGTTTCTTTCCATAAATGTCTCTTCACTGGAATTCTGAGTTTAGTGAATAAACCTCTGAGGGAATGTAGTTTAATTCATGAGGGGGTGGCAATATGGATCCTTGCCTCGGGCGGCAAGAATCGCACCGGCCCTGCCTATTACAGTCGTTTAGCACCCACCATTCATCTGATTTATTCCTATATAAAAAATTCCAACACAAACTAAATATAGACATTTACTAAAGAGAATGATTTTCAAATTTAAGGCCAATGTAGCCAAGCTCGAAAGGCTCTCCAAATCAGCAATGCTTTCTGTTTGGCTAAATGTAATATAGTATAACTGTGCATCTGAACTTATAAAGTGATTGCCCTTAAAGCTTAAAACCTTAATAAACAAACAATCTGAAAAGTGAAGAGGAACACAAGATGATAAATATCTACTATAAACCAACTGAGTTGTATTCACAATAATGTCATTACTATTTGGAAAGCTCGCATTTTCTTTTGTGCTATATCAAAAATGCTTCCCTAACATATGAGATAATGCTTCTGAGAAATTATTAAAGAATACCTGTTCACTGAGCTATTTTGGTTCACGTCCTGCTCATTAGGTCGGAAGAATTCTGCAACGCTGTCAAGAAGCCTTCCAAAACCTTGACTCAAACATGAGTTCAATACAGTGCTAAAGTCATGGCTGTGAAGATATGAAGTAAGGAACTCTGTAAATTTACTGTGTTGTTCATGTGCCCTGGAACATCAGTAAAACAACTAAAATATCAATATGAAATTCCAGGTTAAACACTTTCTACACAAGTATGGACTAATATTTGTTAAAACATTGGACAACCACCTGTACGTGGACAACAAGATTGTCACATATGACCGATTAAAGTAACTGGCCACCCTTCAGACGAAGGGCTACTTCCGATATAACATTGGACAACTCACATCACCAATGAGAAATGTGAACCTATTTCACCCCAAAAAGCTCAACTTGGGACAAAACAATATGAGCACCAGGGTAGTTTAAAATATACTGATTTTTTTTATGCATTTAGCTTCAAACTCTCCAGAATTTGGGAAGACTATGTAATTCAGTCTAAAGATTTTTCTCAGTAAGTTGTGCCAAAATTATTTTTAAAGTATATTGTGAAATGCCATTTCCCAGTAGACTTAAATAAGCAGCCTAGGCACCAGAAGCGCTACATGTCATGTTTTATCTAATGAATGTACAGTCTATAATCTCTGCAACACTCCATTCCTTCTCTCAAATCACCATCCTTATCATTAGCTCTCAATAGGCCCATCCCCAAACAACCTAAGCCTAACCCCCCTCACCTCAGAAGGAACCTGAATTCTACTGGCCTCCAGCAGCTGTCAGCTTATATTGATTTCCAACTAGTATCCATCCCTACTTTCTCCTGTCCCTCACTGGCTATTTCCTCACATAACACTACTCTCACCTCTGCCCTTGACACTGCAGCTCCACTTCAAACATGTACCTAAGGGAGGATATGCTCCCGTTCTGCTGAACGCTCCTGGAGGAAGTCTCGCACCCAATCAGACTTCCTGCACTACAAATTCATCTTGCATTCATACAGCTCAGCAGCTTACCCTTGTCAAACAGTTATACTTTTCATCGCTCATTAGCTCATGGTCCCGCAATCCCAGGCATCACTTTAATACCTTTAACGCTCTTTGTTGCCCTGCTGTGCCCACCCCTCAAACTAACCTTACAGCCAATAGCTTTGCATGCTACTTTACCGACAAGATTAAACAAACAGCTAAGGAAAGAATTCTCCCCACCTTGCCCCTCTCCTTCTCAACCACATCTGAATCATGCCTTCCCTATACTTAAGACTGTCTCACAGGCTACTGAACAAGAGGTGGTTGCGCTTCTCCTTCCCTCTCGCCCCACCACTTTCCAGTTTCATCCTGTCCCATCTCACCTTATCAGCTCTCTCTATTCTGGCATTGTCCCTGCTGCACTTAAACATGCTACTGTAGTAGCCATCTTAAAAAATAAAAAATAAAAATCTTTTGACTCATCCTCCCCTTCTAGCTATCATCCCATATCCCTGCTCCCTTTTTTCCTCAAAGCGTCTGAAAAGACTTGTCTTTACCCTTCTGGCTTGTTTCCTCAATTCCAACTCTCTCCTTGACCCTCTTCAGCCTGGTTTCCAGACCCTCTACTCTACTGAGACTCTTATTAAAGTTACTAATGATATAATCGTAGCTAAAGCCAAAGGTCACTACTCCATACTAATTCTTCTTGACCTCTCTGCTGTCTTTGACACTGTTGATCATGTTCTCCTTCTCCAAACTCTTCAATCACTCGGTCTCTGTGACACTGTCCTCTCGTGGTTTTTCACCTAATTCTCCCATTGCTTCTTTTCTAATGGTACCTCCTCCCTTTGTCCTGTCTCATCTGGAGTCCCCCAAGACTCTGTTCTTGGTTCCCTTCCATTTTCTCTCTATATTGCCTATCTTGGCAAACTTATTATCTCATTTGGATTCCAGTACAACTTGTACGCTGATGAAACCCAGATATACATCTCCTTCCCGGACCTCTCGCCTGCCATCGTGCAACGTGTCACTGCTTGTCTTTCTTCCATCTCTTGGGGAAAGCTTACGGTCTCCCAGAGTAACCTTTACCTTATATACCCACCTCTTGCTCTCTCCTAAAGGGCAGCACTCTATGCTCTCCTCCAGCTCTGCTTCACTCCCACCTTGTGTGATTGCTATCTCCTGTCCTATTGTGTTTTACACCCCACTCCTCTAGACTGTAAGCTCACTTGAGCAAGGTCCTCTTCAACTTACTGTTCTTGTAAGTTTTTGTAATTGTCGCATTTATTGTTAAATCTCTCCCTATGATAATATTGTAAAGCGCTACAGAATTTGTTGGTGCTATATAAATACCAATAATAATGTAATGGTGATGTTGCATTTAGGGTGAGGGTGCTGATTCTGGAGGGGGGGGGAGGGTGGAAACAATGCAATCGACATTGTAGCAGATATATTTTAAACTTTAAAAACTTTAACTAATTAGATAATCCTGGTCTAGGAAGAATAGCCAGACACTGAGAATAAAGTTAACATTTTATCTGATTACATTTTACACTTTGTTTCCTCTTCAAAAAGATGCACAAAATATCAAAAGTTAAAAACACTAAACTGAAAACATATCACTCTAGTAATCCTTCACACCATAATAAAATTAGTTCCATACAATTACAGTTTCTCATTAGTGTGATTTACTAAACGGTGAAATGTAATAAACTGAAACTGAACTGCAAAATATAGACAAAAATCAAGCTGTGATTATAACCAAGTAATAGTATATTACATAACTTATATTTTGAATGGATTATTTTTTGCTTTTGTTTTCAATCAACTACAATATGATTCACTATTTAGCGAATGAACCCCATTAAATTTGAGCAGTGATCATGAAAATAGGATAGGGAGAAATTAAAGATTAAATGTGAAATAAATCTGAAAATCACTTTAAAAAACAACAAACAAACAAAAAAACAACAAATCTATAAAATACAAATAAAATTTATATTTTAACTTTTTTGCTCCTCCCAAACTTTCCCATTTCTTTCAGTTTCATATTATGTGTGCATATGTATATATAAATTGTCTTCCATGTCTGCTTTTCCGGTTTCATTCTAAAGCATACTTTATGTAAGACATAATAATTATAATAAAGTATTTAACCAGGAAAGGTACATTCAGATTACTCTGGTTTTCAAGTTAGTCCTGGGGATGTTTCTTTGCCCAGCATCCAGGGGTTGTTACTATTACAATTTAATGGTACTCATTTTATCTTTTATCTACCTCAGAAGGATGAAGCTATCTCACCGGCCTGATATATACATTTAGTGTCCAAGATTTTATGTTGAAATTTCCAAAAAGCAAACAACCGCCCCTTTCATTATAAAATAATACTTTATTTTTACTCCTGCTTACCTTTCAAGCATGTCCCTTGTTTCATTCAGTAGTCTAATTGTTGTGACATCTTTTTCCGTTAGTCCACATGCCTATTAATTTCAAAATGTTCACAAATAGTTCAGGGGCATGACTTCAATTTTTTAAAAACATTAGTCAGTTAGCATTAACCCCTCTTGACAGTTTCAGTATCACGCATGGACTAATAATGTTGCCAGGTAATGTTTGAGTGTTGATACATTATAAACGATTATTAAAGGAACACTATAGTGTTAGAAATACAAACATACATTCCTAACACTATATTGCTGAGTACTTGTTTATACAGAATGGAGTAAAAAGGTTTTAAACTTACCTTTTCTCCATCACTGTGCTGGTCTCGCCGTGGCTGACTCCGCCTCCATGGCTGAGATCATCAATCTTGATATTATTGCACAAGCGCAGTAAAATGCCTCTATAGGGAGTGTCCAGCGTCTCCAAGAGCGTGGAGAAGCTGAGCGCAAGACAGAGGAAGCAGCATTCTAAAAAGGCAGCTGTAATGAATCCCCTATACTCCGACTGAGTATATCCACTGTAGTTCTCCTAAATCCCAAGTGAAGCAGTGTTTGAAGCAGTGATTACAGCTCTGAGCTACCAAAACATCAGCCTAGACTTGATGAAGGGTACAACAGGAATCTCTTTAATCCAGGCTCAAATGGACACACCTACAAAATGTCCCCAAAATGTCATGTCACCATGACTAAGCATAAAATGACAAATTATAGAAAACACAAAAAAATACTTATTGCCCACATTGGAACCCCCACAGTCTATACATCCCTGGATAGCCTGGATCTGTGCACCCAAAATATATAAAAAGCGCTCAGATCCCACAAACACAGCCGAAATGCCACTGGGATAAAGTTCTGACCGACCGCACACGAGGTGCCTGCCCAAAACAGTTCCAGGGATTTAGTGGTAACGGCCGGTCAACTTCGGGAATTCAATACGAAAGAAATACAGAACGCACACTCTGGCTTGTTGGTAGCATTTGTTCGTATGAACCATACGAACAAACCTAGAGAATGGCGCTCTCCTGACATGTGTGGGGAAGAAGCAGGTGTTCGTCAAAGTTCAGCGGTGTTTGGGAGTTTCAGTGTCCGGTTTTAGTTCCACGTGATTGATGGCCAAACACTGCTGCCTGCATTCCACGCAGCAGTAAAATTAGAACACATGATGATTGAAGTGTCAGGAGAGGTTAACAAGCACAGAGATGGTACGCAGTTCGTGAGTTTGTTCGGTTCCCGAACAGTACAAATAAATCCCACGAACTATGACTAAGCAGACCCCAGACCTCCAATCAGTTTGGATCTGTGTTAGTCTGGTGTCTTTTCCCAAACGTTGCAGTGCTCCAAAGGGCCTCCTGCCCCATGTTCCAGTTTAAATATCCAGGGTCTTCCTGGGCAGTGCACCAACTATAATCCACTCCTGAGGCATCCCGTTGTTGCTGGAGGGGAAGGGCCCAATTCTCCCCTCTCAGGGATACACAGAGCCCTGGGGGAGTGAAACAGATGGCACCATATCCCAGACCCTTGCTCTGCTGAAGGGGCACAATCAGGGTGACTTTGGATCCCCTACTAGGGGGTTGAGGACCCGTGCCGACTGCCCCGCCTCCCTGTAGTCCAGGTGTGGAGACCACGGTCCCATCCACCCCTCCCGTGCCAAAAGCTTCAGGGACTCATGAACAGAGATGGGTAGGCACTCTGCTGCTGGGGAGAGAGACCGACTGCCTCTACTCCTTAGCACTCCTGCTGCGGCTGGGGATCTGGGAAGGCTGCCCAGCATCCCTGTAGGGCTGGTGCAGGGACCTAGGTCCCATCTTTACTGTAAGCTCCAATTATCCTGTCTCCTGATAACAGGCCCTGTCTCTGGGGAGAGGAACCGGTTGTCTCCTCTCCCTTTGAACCATACTGCCGTTGGAGAGTTGGACCAAGTGTCACGACTCCCAGTAACGCTGCCTGGTGCTGGGTAGTGGGAACGACCATCTCCACTCCCAGTGATGCTTGCTGCTGCTGGGATGAGGGACCTACAATCTCCTCTACCTGTAACGCTGCCGGTTGCTGAACCGAGTCTAGTAGGTTCCTGCTCCAACTCCCACTCTATGGTAACGAGGTGGGTGAGGTCTCGTCCCATACAACTGTAGCTTAAATATAACTTTCACCTTTTGGCACTTTAGAAGATGTAAGATGTCACAATTAAAAAAATGAATGCAACATGGAAAACCTACACACCATGCTCCAATTGTTACAGGTTAATAGATACCTGGGTATTTAATGGGGTCTCCTCATCCGGCATCATATAACGACACAACTGCGACTTGAACTCTGATTCTGCCTGACCCGGTGATTCCACCTCCCCTTCTATTTGCCTACGGATGTCTTTCATTTTCTGCTCCACATCCATGAGAGAGAGGGAGTGTTTCAAGGACAAGCTGTTAAAAAGATTTTTATTTTTTTTCTTTCAAAATCGGTAGGAAGTTTTGTGGGGACTTATCTGTGTCTTCTTAACTCACACAGACTAACAGGTTTGTTCTTGGTTTTATCTTTTTACAAGTTTGTTGCAAATCATATTATCAGGGATATCTACTAAAGTGATAATTCAAAGTAAATTTCAGGTTTAAGGCTAGAGTAGTTGAATGGAATGTGTAGCTGAAAGAGTTTCCAGTTCAACTATTTTGACCTTAAATTTGAAATTCACTTTAAAGTCACATTGAATTCTCACTTTGCTGAATGACCTTGAATAAGTCTAGAAAATATGCCCTGTAAATGTAAATGTGCCAAGTATAAAAATCCTGGCAAAATCCTTACTTAACAATTCCAGTTTTAAGAACTTTCAATGACAGGAAAGAAACCGTAACAAAGAGCATTACACACACACATAAAGCAACAAAACATTAAACATTTCCTCTATGGTAGATTTTAGAATATTTGTTTCGGACAGTGTTATTCAATAAACTCCACAACTGTAGCAAACTGAAATGTAAATTGCAAATTTAAGGCTAAAATAGCCAAGTGGTGGATAGAGGCGAGCTGGAAAAAAATTGCAGTTCAGATTGCAATTTGCTATAGTTCAGAATTTAATGAATAACTATATTTTGTTATTTTTTTCGGTATATATGTTTCTAACTCTCTTATGACTCAAAGGAATGTTGCTATGTACAAATTCAATGTTATGACCCTGTAATTGTGAGTTTTTGAGCAGGGAATGTCTGTGCCACTATCTACAGAGATATTCAGATATGTCCTTGTTTCTGGTACCAGAGCAGTGTATCTAGTTCCATTACCTCAAAGCTTCAACTGAGGCAGTCACTGGAACCACATTGATGATTGCTCTAGCTTGTTAACTTAAAGGGACACTGTAGTCACCACAACAACTACAGCTTATTTGTTCTGCTGAGTATAATGATTCCCGTCATGCTTTTTGCAGTAAACACAGTCTTTTCAGAGAACATGCAATGTTTACATTACAGCCTAGGGATACCTCCACTGGCCACTCTTTAGTTGGCTACTAGAGTGTCTCCACCCTCTGCATGGAGACATTTAACTTTCCTCATAGAGATGCACTGATTAAATTCATCTCTATGAGGAGATGCTGATTGGCCAGGGCTGTGTGTGGCTTGTGCTGGCTCTGCCCCTGATCTGCCTCCTTGACAGTCTCATCCAATCCAATGCTTTCCTATGGGCAACACTTCGGATGATGTCAGCCAAACAGGCAGATCTGGGGCAGAGCTAGCAGCAGCAGACTGGAGTAAAGGTAAGATTATAGTATATTTAGGGAGGGGCTGGAGGGCTAGATGGTGTTTTTAACACTATAGGGTCATGAAAACGTTTGTGTTCCTGATCCTATAGTGTCCCTTTAAGTGCTATTTGAACACACCCTTCATTGAGTATCTCATACAAATAAAAAATGTTTTAAATGCTCACACTGACTGTGTTGGAATTTCACTGAATTCCCAAGACAAGGTAGGAACTATGAATTTTTCCTTAACTTGATAAAAGGCTACTGCCGGCATGTTTGGTAATTCCCCCAACTTTCAGTAATGACTATTGGGGGAAAAGGTGGTCTATATGGAGGATGCCGCAGTCTTGCAACACTAGTGACATGGGCTCCTGGTAGATGAAGTGCCATGAGCTGAAAAGGATCTACATAGCAGCTGACTGGAGGTCCAGCTTCAGTTAAGAACAACCTTCCCTCTCCTGCAACACTGGGCCACCGCACACCAAAATATGCAAAGACAGATGCAGAAATATTTAGACATTAGCTGTGAACAGTATAAATTAAACTGGCTAAAACCAGAACAAATGTTACATATCACTGAGCACAGGGAAATTCTGAAGCCAAATAAAAAAGGCAGAACTTAATGTTACCTGCCAAGTACTCTTTGGACGGCATGCTTCACAGCTGTTATCAGCTCGGTCAGACCTGAGGGAAAAAAAGATTATAGTGATATTATCTACTGCACGCCACACTGTTACATACCTGTTTGATGACATCTAGCAAAGTGTACAATTAACACCTACCATCTCCAAGGAGGTGTTGAATGCTGGACAAATATTGCTGTTGTACCTCAGGGGATGCTTGATGGGCCTGGAAGTAAGAATTAAAGACTATTAGGTGAAGTCTCAGTCACGACCTGGATAGTAAGCCGTGATTGAAACATGAAGGTGTAAGAGTACTGAATTCAATGTTGAGTGAATAAAAAAAGGTTTATTTTAACAATGGGCATTTATGAAAAATGCATAGTAAGTAATTAATCAATGCACACAGAGCATGTTCTTTAAGCCTTCTTAATTAATTCACTTATACAAAGCCAGTTAAAGGCAAATAATAAAGAGAAAAGTACCTGATTGTTCATCTTCACAATCTTTACAAATAGTAGTCATAAACACGTCTTCATTTCCACCATTAAGTCAAGACAAATTATTGGCATGTAATAGCAAATAATTTTAAAACAAACCATAACTATGAAGACATTAATGGTACTTAAGTAACCTCACAGGTATTTCTTTCTTTCTATGCATTTAATAGGCATGTTTGATGTATGATTGCATGGAGATGTTACATCAGTATATATTCACCATGTTGAATTCAACTGCTCATGTCTGCAAAATTTAAACTCAGTTACTATCAAACATCTCCTAAGTCCCCAAGGTGTTAAGACTGCAGGTCATGTGTGGTGACACATTTTATTGCACCTTTCCAACTTTCTACTTTATAGCAGCTCATGCAAAAAAAAAAAAAAACAAAAAAAAAAACATTTATTCACACCCACATTAAAGGGATCTTAAATTGACCCAGACTACTTAATTTCAATGTAGTGGTCTGGGTGTCGTGTCCCCGTCTTTTCAAAGTGTCTCTTTCTCATACTGCTTTCTCTTCCTCTTTCAGAATCTGTTCTTCTTTTCTCCATTTCTTACCTACCGTATATACTCGTGTATAAGTCGATCTCATGTATAAGTCGAGTGCAGTTTTGTGACCAACAATTGTGAAATATGCTATGCCTCGTGGATAAGTCGAGGGTAAAACTTGGGGCTATGAAATTCTGTGATTTTTACAATTATATACACACACACTCATACAAACACACACTCTGCATTAAACACACACACTTATACAAACACACACTCTGCATTATATATACACACACACACTCATACAAACACACACTCTGCATTATACACACACACTCATACAAACACACACTCTGTGTATATAATGCAGAGTGTGTATTTAATGCAGAGTGTGTGTTTGTGTAGTGTGTGTGAACTGGGTGGGGGGAGGGCATTTTTATTATTTAATTTTTTTTTTTTTGTAGCTGAACACCGCTGGCCGTTCGGCAGTTTAAGATGGCCGCTGCCACGTGTTCGGCTATACGAACAACGGCCACCCAGCGTTCGTCAATTAAGCTGCGGTTAACTGCAGCTTCAGGGAGGTAAATTGCTGGCACACTCCTTAGCCAGGTGGTCCGGTCACATCTCTCCCCTTTCCCAAAAAGACTAACACGGTATCTGACCTCCTGTTGGTCAGTGCCTTGGTTAGTCAAGCAACCCACCCACGAAACATAATCAGTAGAGTAGCCCACCCCCAATAACTGTTTACTGCACCTGGGGAAACGTGTAGCCTATCTCTGTCCAGGGGCCTCACCACATGGGGAAAATGTGTAGCCTGTCTCTGTCCAGGGGCTGTATTGGGTACTGGTACTCTGGATTGGTGGATTGCGTGGTGAGCAGAGACCAGCGGTACTCTCCCCTGGTGCCATCGCTTCAGCTGGAGTAGCCTGGTTGGAGCTTAGCTGGGATGAGGGGGTAGTAGGCTCCTCTCCCTGGACCCAGTGCTGCTGCTGGAGAGGGAGACCGACTGTCTCCCCTTTTGATAAACAGTCCTGCTGCTCGGGATCTGGACAGACTGTCCCGCATCCCTGTAGACCGGGTGCAGAGACCGCGGTTCCATCTGCCCCATCTGGGAGAAAAAGGTCTCCCCTTTGGGAAATAATCTGCCGCTGGGGAGAGGTGGTAATAGGTTCCTCTCCCTGAAACACTCTCTGCCGCTGGGGAGGGAGACCGAATGTCTCCACTCCCAATACAGTGTCCTGCTGCTGGGTAGCGAGACCAACTGTCTCTGCTCCTTGTAGAATAAACTGCTTCTGGGGAAGGGGGACGATGATCTCCTTTCCCTGCGAAGGGTAGCTGGGGATCTGGACAGGCTGTCCAGCATCCCTGTGGTTCCGGTACAGAGACCACGGTCCCATCTGTACCATCTGGGAGCTCAGTATCTCCCCTTTGTGGGTTAAGCTGCCGATGGGAAAAGGAGACGAGGCTCTCTATTCCCTGCAATTCACACTGCCGCTGGGGAAAAGAAATGAGGCTCTCTATTCCCTGCAATTCAGACTGCCGCTGGGGAAAGGATAATATCACTATAATCTTTTTCTTTTTCCCTGTGGGAAAGCATTGGATTGGCTCAAGATCTGCAATTATGATGTCATCAAGGAGGCGGATCTGGGGCGGGGCCAGCGTCAGCAGACCCGTGCGGTGATGGAAATAAGGTGAGTTTTAATTCCTTTTAAGGGGGCTGAGGTGGGGCAAGCCACCTAAATGGTGGGTTTAATACTATTGGTTCAGGAATAGATGTTTGTGTTCCTGACCCTATAGTGTTTCTTTAAGCTACAAGTGAGATTCTTTTCAAGCGTATTGGTAGGTTACCTTCTCCACCCAATACCAAGGCTGAGAGATGGCGAGGCTATGCATTCCTTTTTGGTTTCTATTCAACTGCTATGTGCTGCAAATTTTCTGACACTCTACCAATGTGAATACTGGGCCAATTTGCCTTGTGAGATTTTTTAGATTTTTTTTTTAATTAACAAATTTCTTTTTTTTGGGACATGAACCAAGCCTTCTATTGATATACAAATTGCTACCTACAAGCTCTCTGGATTTTTGTTCTGGATTTTTAATTTTTTTTTTGTTTGGGTCCCAGTTTGTCTTATATTTTTCACTGATGCTTGTTAAAAGCATGAGTATACGTTTTCAGTGGGATCTTGTGGTAGACTCAGTTCAGCTATTTTCACCTTGAATTTGCAATTCACTTTTAATTTTCACTTGAATTTTCTGTGAATAACCCTCGCATTTCTCCTTGCCTGTTTTTCCTCTTTCCCGCTTTTTGACTACCCTGTCTTTTCTTTCTTTTATCCTTTAAAGCTTTTGAAATGTACATTTTCATGCTACCTAAGGAAGACTCATAGATTGTTTCCAAATTTCAATTTCAGTAATTCTGGCCACATGCTTAAATCTCATCTAATATGGTGCACCTGGACAAGGTAGGATTTATCGCAGGGAAGGAGGCACTGGATATAATCCTGAGGACAGTGGATCTGCTCCACTTTGGCACTCGAAGGCTGGTATTTCCATCTTTTTTTATTGTATACAGATGGAGGGAGCAGCGCCTAAAGTGGTCCTCGGGAGTAGGCCAAATATGGAATGAAAAATAAGCACAAAAGTAATGTAATAAATTGCTGGTATATAAAATAAGAAGTGTGCTTAAAGTGTGTAGAGCTTCCAGTAAGCTCTACTTAAAAGCACCTAGTTGGTATGATCATTGACTATGGATATGGTGTGAGTTTCTTGGTCCGATGGAGGATTTCCATTTTTAATTATTAAGTACAGCTTAATAGAAATGCATTTCTTCGTTTTACAAACCACCAATATACTTGCTTATTTTTCATTCCATATTTGGCCTAATCATAAGGACCACTCAAGGAATGGCTCCTTCGATCTCTATACATCCGTTTCTTGACCAGGACAAGAGAGATTTGGGTTTGGGTTGTTTCAGTTGCCTTCTGCCATCTACATCATTAGCACTACATACATATATCCTTATTTTGCTTAGATGGTTTCATTTTTTTTATTACTTAAAGTTTGACCTGGCACAATTTCTGATGGCTTTCAGGTTTGTGGTAAGTGGGTAGATACCTGCATGCCTGGTGGTTCTGATCCAAGTTGAGCTTCTCTGTTTAACAAATTATCTCATTGTCATGGGGTAACCTTTCCTCCATGGGTAGTGCTCCTAAAGAGACAGTATAGGGATCTCACTCTCTCTAGTGCAAAAACTTATATTTAGGGTATGTACAGCTTTGAGACTGGAAAGAAGCTCAGCCTTCGTAGACCCAAGTTGATGTCTAATATTTAGTATGATCAGAATGAAAAAACTGAAAGCTGCTATTATTGAAACCACCAAATTTTTTTTGAATATTTGGAGCCGACGGATCAAGACTTGTTTCTCAGGGACTTAATCTGAATCTCTTTGTGGTGTAGCTCTAAGGAGGGGATCCGCCGTCCACTCATCTGGCTACTGCCTTGTATCCTCATCTTTCCTCACATTTTCTTTATTGTCTACACAGGCCACCTATATAGCTGACAGATTAGCCAACCTTATGCATTTTTGGATTGGGTTGTATCCCTTGTTTGTTTTTTGTGGATTTTGAGTGACTGTCACTTTGGTTCCATGTTTGTACATTTTCTTATATTGCATAAATGTTTTTTTTCAGTTTACCTTTCCTTATGCTCCCTGTACCTAAATGATTATACTTCCCCTCTTTGATGGATTGTGGGTAAATTAGCTTAGCAACTGTAATGGAACTGTGCTTAAGCACTGCCTACTGCCCAAAACTGCCAAATATCACAATCCCCGTGAGAAAAAGTAATCCTTCAATTGTCTTATGTAGAACTAGAAAACGAAGGTGAATTTCAATTATATAAAAACAGGAACAAAAAATTAATTTGAAAGCAAAACCTGCAAAGTGATAATCCACTTTAAAGCGGCTCTATCATTTAGTGAATTGCTCCGCTGTCATCTGAGGAATCTCTCTTCTCGTCCCCCAACAATCCCCAAACCTTTTTGGACGCTGAGACCGGTACAACTTTTTATTTTTTCAGCCCTGCCATCTGAAAGTGTCTAAGATGGCAGCTCCCAGAAATTCAGTTATTTGCCCTTCCTTGGGTATGCATGTGAGAGATGAGTTTTAAGCTGATGTCCAATAACAAAGTTGATAAAGGACCGGCGCTAGATTAAAGCTCCACCCTTTGTCAACCTGTTGGTTATCCGTCAACATGCTGGTTATCACACTCCCTACGTTTCCTTATGTATAACATTGCAAATAAATGCCATTTAAAAAAAAACCAAAAAAAAAAAAAACCGGGATCATCAAGGGAGGGACTTTGTACATAGCAGTGGAGGGAAAAAGAAAGTAACAGAGCCACATTCAATTTAATTAAATGTACTAAACTTCTTTAAAAATGTAAAGTGAAAATTTGATGACAGTTGTCCTTGAAATATTTTAGTGCTCAGGGGAAGTGTACAAATAATAATGAAAGAACAATGATTGACTATTTGGTAAAGTGATGTTAAGAGTTCTGCTCCTGAGTAAGTACTAAAACATGTATCTAGAAAGGAAGTTGCTTTGTGAAAAGAGGGTTATGCTGTAAATGTGTTATTTCTTTTTAGCATGGCTAGTGAGATTTGAATAGGAGGAAAAAAAAAACAGCTGATCAAAATATATTAAAGGCACTTTAATCTATGTTGGTGCCCAGAGTGTGACTGGGGTGCCTTTTTAACTACAGCAATCAATATACTTATGTTACATTGACAAATATTCTGATGAAACTTACCGTGCCGTTTTTTCCTGTAGATGAATTATCCAAGTAGATATATCCACCAATAATATTAAGCTGAACTCGAAGGAGGACAACAAGCATGCATGTACTATAAACGGCTACTATGCTTCTGCTGAAACCTGGCAACAAAACATACAAACGTATAAATTAAAGAACAGATTGTAAAGCACACTATTGCATTTTAGCTGGTATTGCGGATATGGGTTCATTTAAACAAAAAAGACTACATGATAAATGTACTGTTTTGCCTTGTTGCTTTTTTCTGGATACCTACCAAACCACTATAGAAAGACACTGGTAGACACTTTACCTTACAACAGGGTAAAGTTTTTATTACATTTTTAGAGCCAACAATTTATTATTGATTGACAAATTCAAACTATAAACCTGTATCCATCCGCATTGCATGTGAAAAACAAGACTGATATGAATTTGAGCTGAACAGGAGCTGAAGATGACTGCAGCATAAGCTTTACAGAGCATTAACAATAAAGAGTGCCAGAGTCTGCCAATGTCTTTTAGTTGCAGATTTAAGGAGGTCCTTGAACACAAATGATCAAAAAATGGTAAATAAGAGAAAGCAAACAACATGTCCGCCATCGTGGAAGATATATATAATTACTTCTACTGAGTGGTTAATGAATGAACAATGCAGTAATTTCAAATGTCTTTGTAACCAACAAGCATGTATGAATTAAAAAAATATTGGTAAAGGTTTGCCTAAATTAAAGTATCTCTGTGTAAAAAGTTACCTTTGGTGTTAAGCAGTTATCCAGTGAAAATGAAAAAGAAACGACTGGTGTAAAATACATTATAAAGGGGTGGGTCGGAGGGTTTCTTAATCCAGGCATGAAGGAGGGTTTTCAACACTGCATCTTTCGTTATAATTACAAACTTCAAAACACAGACACTGTGCACAATATTTATCAATGTCCGGATTTTACATTGCAGGCTCTGAATGAGCATGAATTTGGTCTGGATTTCGGCATAAGTACCACTCAGGGGCACAAGGGTTTATTAAGTGATGGCTGGCCAGTGCTTGCTAGCCAGTCACCACACTAATGTAAAACAAAATGTAAAAAAGCCTGGGGGGTTTATATGAAACCCATATTATCATAAGGGAGGTTCTAAACCTTTTTTTTGCCCAACCTGCCATACAGGGGGTGGGGAAATAATCTACAAAATTGAGCAGCCAGTGGAACTCACTGTAATAAAAAAAAACTAGCGACTGGGAAGTCATTGCTGCTAACAAAAGCCCCACCC